TCCTAAGTAAATTGATAAAGGATTGTGGTTTAAGACCCAAGATTGAAATCCTATACCCACCTACCTGGGAGTAAGCCATCACTGAAAACTGAGCTTTATATTTAGTAGCAATGTGTAAGACTGCACTGCAGAATGCCTTAAAAGGCAGAAATTGAACTTCCATTCCCCCCCAATATTTCTCATTAAAAGCTACAGTATCTAAGGAATACAGAGGAATGTTGATTATTTGGGCTTTTTCCATGATGTAAGTGAGAATGGTCTGTCTGGACTTTCTCTGCATGGGATCAGAATAAAACTCTCTTCTGCAACTTCAAAAAAGTTCTAATGTAGAATTCAAGAAAACAAACAGAAAGTAAAGTCAGCAAGGAGCTTTGATGCATCAAATAAACATTTCACTTAAGTGCTGGGTGAATATTAGTCTGGTTTATCCCAGCTTTGCTACAAACTGTTGCTACTGTGATGACTGGGCAAAAGAATTTTCTTTTGCTTAAACAAGAAAGCATCTGCTGACACAATATAAAGAAGAGCCCTTCAAGCTTCTGATGATGGGGAGATGAAAGATTCCTAAAGATACTGGGACAGTCATATGATCACCCTAAACACCCCTGGCATTTTCAAATGGGAATTAGCCCAAGAATTTAAATATGCACAGAAGAATCTTTAGTTCTCCAGCAACTGTTGTGGAAGAATATTAAGACATTCCATGTTCCAGAATGGAGGAACATCACTTGTGCAACAAAATATAATATAGGCATAATCCTACATATCCACAGAATGTGCGACATAAATGCCACATTTCAAGCTTTAAAGATTCTATCCTTTCAATGTAAATCAACCTCTTTCTCCACAATTTTAAATACTGTATGTAGTAATATGTTCTCTATTTCTCCATATCCTTACTCCTAAGAGCATATATAGCTTGAAAAATATGTTTTTAACAGCAATCTTGGCACAATGCAATTTCAAGTTGAATGTAACTTTAATGATGCAAATGTTTTTAAAAGACCCATAACAAAATAAAATATTTTATAAATTCTACAACTTCCCCACAGCAAAGCAAGGAAAATAGATTTTTTACTACTAGGAACTAAATAAAAGTTTTCTGTAACTTCCTGCTCATTAATATACCATGTTAGTTCTAGTAAAAACACACACACACACACACATAGTGCTGTGGGTTAAACCACAGAGCCTAGGACTTGCTGATCAGAAGGTTGGCGGTTCGAATCCCTGCGACGGGGTGAGCTCCCGTTGCTCGGTCCCTGCTCCTGCCAACCTAGCAGTTCAAAAGCATGTCAAAGTACAAGTAGATAAATAGGTACCGCTCCAGCGGGAAGGTAAACGGCGTTTCCGTGCGCTGCTCTGGTTTCGCCAGAAGCAGCTTAGTCATGCTGGCCACATGACCCGGAAGCTGTACACCGGCTCCCTCGGCCAATAAAGCGAGATGAGCATCGCAACCCCAGAGTCGGCCACGACTTGACCTAATGGTCAGGGGCCCCTTTACCTTTTAAGTGGCTATTGGCAAGGAAGAAAACTGATGTGTATGTTACACCAAAACACTCAGACTCAGAGCAGAATCCAATTAAATACCAATGTGTACAAGTAATGAGCTTTTGTAATTGCAAAAGTGGTTCTGTGCAATTCCAATTGCACTCTGTAAAGTGTGGGAGCATGAGAAGACTCTGTGCTAGATAAGAGCACAGGTCCTTCATGAGTCAAGGATGTTAAACTCCCAGCTATTAACATTAATGTTTGTGTAGGTTGCTCTAGTCGAAAGCTTGCTTGATAAAGTTAAGCGGCTTAGCTTAACAAAATGACAGAAGTAGCCTTAATAACCTCTTAACCTTTCTGCATGGCACAAAGCTGCTTCTCGTTGCTTTCCACATCAGAAGATGTGAAGCCCACCACCCTCCTGAGGCTCTCTTATTTAATGGGTATAATCATCCTCCCTCCCACATGACAATAACACGTCTAGGTCAACCTGACAAAGAGTTTGCAGATCCTATGTTTTCAATGGCTGCAGGGATGCCTATCAGTTTGTCTGTGGCTCTTTCAGTTGGTGGACTTGAAGCTTCCATCAAGTCTGTACCTAGAATGGATTCTGATCTTGCTTTTTGGCTATTTTGTAAACTCTACAAATTGAGGCAAATAATGTAGAGCAAGGTGAAAATGAATTTGACCCTTTGGATAGTAGAAATACAAGTGTGTGTTTTAAATATATATACATTTATATCATGCCCTCTCTCCAAATGAGTTTTGGGTGACATGAATGGACCTCCTCCTACCTTTAACCCCTCAGTGACCCTGTGAGGGAGGTTGGGCGGAGAGACAGTGACTAGCCCAAGGTGCACATATTTCTGTGATGCACATAAGCATGGCTGCAGCTACAGATTTAAGACAAAAGCTTCTCTCTTGTCCCAGTATTTCATGCATGGTTCTGAGGTCTGGTACATATTCCAGTGGGGCAGCTACTATGCAGATGAATTGCTATACAGGTGAAATTTCATCTTCGTAAAATCAAGTGCTTGACTGATAAAATAAGTAATTTATTTGGATGTCTAATCAAGTCCCTAAGATGAATAGAAATTAAAGTAGAAAAAAGCATCACTTTTTAACTCCAACGAGCAAAATTAAGCCCACTTTCAAAGGTTTTGTAGGGCTGCAAAGAGAATTTCAGACTAGGGCTTTTATGCTCCTCATTATAGAAAGGGAACTTCATAATTGTGTTGTAGGACAGCCACAGTTCAGCAGCGTGCCTGCCAGGCTTTATAAGGCAGCCAAGTATACTAAATACGACATACGGTATAAGGAAGAGCAAGAGAGAGAAAAGGGAGACAGCTGAAGACACAAGCTCACAGGAGCTCTGAGCAGTAATTCAATACTGTTAATTCTTCATCAACCAACTGTTCTCATTGCCCACTGACAGGGTTGAAGGGAGGAGTCGCAATTACAAACTTGCAAGCAAAAAGAGGGGGTGGTGGATTTTATTCTCATTATATCAGAACAATGCTGGCTGGGGAGGGCACCTTTATTTTAAATCAAATCACTGAATGCACCAAACAGGTTTCAGATGTGGTTTCAATTTTCCCCCTATTTGAGTCACAAAGAAGAAACTACATACAAAGTCTTCAAAAAGCAAAAATAAAGGCCAATACACTCGGAAATTTCACAATGAGAGGCAGCGGCGTCTCTTCAATTCAGTCACATAAATGGCTTTTTCAGCCAGAAACAGAGTTTTGCCTTCTTTTGTTGTACTTGCAGGGGACCAAAAGACATCCCAGCTGCTGCTCAAGTTCATTGTTTTTAATTCAATTTCTGGGGGAGGGGGGCACAGCAGATCCTGAAAGGGCCTGAGTTTTGAAAAGCATATTCTTTCCCTTCCACAGAAACAGGGGTTAAAAGAAGGAGCAGAACCATTCTTCCTAAGGAAACAGTCTGCTTCGAAACGGACTGGTTCTACCGCCAGCATGCCACTTGGCTATGGAACAAAAGCCATCCGTTCCTGCATCTGTCTCCTCTCACTCATGCCTGATCTGCCAACCATGCCCACTAAAAAGGCAACAGGTCCTCTTCTTCTTTGCATCCCCAGCCCTCAGCTTGTCAAAGTTCTTCCTCATTCAATTCCAAACATTTTACGTTTGGAAATCCCACTGACTGCCCACTTGAGACTGATTCAGGATCACAGCTCTTGAAATGCACCCTATGTTTCCTAGGCATTTGCATACCACAGTGCATAAAGTGGAATATATTCACGGGATACAGATTTTTAATTCCCATCAAATCAGACGCAGATGTTTCATGTCAACATCTTAAATGCACAGCTCTTTCCACCGGCAAAGCAGCTTCACCTTACACACCAGTTCAGAGCACGGGTGCCTTTTTCGCCCTGCACTGCCTAATGTGAGCAGCAGAAGGATCTTTCCCTGCCCTGCAACCCCTTAAGTTTTAACTGGAAATGGTGGGGACAGAACATGGGAGAGAGAGAGAAGCCACATGCATGCAAAGAGCTTCTCTACTATTGTGCTATGGCCACTCCCCCTTTCTGACGCTGTTGTCCTATGCCCACTTTAAGCACCAGGTAAGTGTGCAATAATACATCAGGCTGCACATGCATTTTTTTTCTTTTTCTTCCGTTTCCTTGTCTAACCAAAAAGGGATTGCCTCTGAGCACCTCATAGCCCCACCTTCGTTCATTACAGGGTCCTCCTCCCCAGAACCATAAGCTGCAGAGAATCAAAATGCCGCTATGAATCATTAGGCTCAAATCCTTACCATGAAATAAGATTCGAATTTTGAGCTGGAGGTGTGGGGGGGGGGGATTACTGAAACAGATATTCTTTTTAAGAGAAATGAAGAGGGAAATGGGAAATCCGCAGAAACAAGTTCTCCTCTCCTAAGACCCCATATCTGCAGTTAAAACCTCTCCTACTTAATTCAGCAATACCATCCGGATTTGACAGCTTGTCACAATCAGAGCGGAGGATGGACCGGAATGTCAGAGGTATCTTATCCTCCGGCGGCAGCAGCAGCAGAAAACAGGGAGTGACAGAAAGCAGCACGTGCAGGAAGGGAGGGGAGGGGGCGAGGTAGAGAAAGAAAAAGAGAGAAGAGACATAGAAACTGCCATTGCTGTTTGCACTAACAAAAGAGAGCTGCAAAAGCAGCCGGGGTAATGGGACCGGGGCACACACAGATAAGCTGCTTCCCAGGAGGTGGGGCAGTTTCCCCGCTCTCTCTCACACACGCCCCCCCCCAAAGGCAAAAGAAGGTGCCGGGGACAGCGAGCTCGCCCCCGCCTTTCCCCAGAAGACACGCGGGAGCAGGACCGAGCGGAGGAGGAGGAGGTCATCCTTGTCTAACGGCTCCGTGAGAAAGCTCTCCTCCGAAGACGCGCGAGGAAACCCGGAGCCCGCCCGCACGCCTCTGGCTCCGCGACCTCGGCAGGGATTGTCGGAGGCAGCGGCAACCGCCCTTCGACCCCCCCCCCCAGCCGCGCTTACCTGCCAGGGTCTTGTGCACCGTGTTGCCCATCACTGCTTCATGCACTCACGCCACGCGGAGGGGCTGCTCGGCGGGGCAAGGCGCTCTCGGAGCCCGGAGCTGCGCGGCGGCGCTCCGAGGGGCCATGGACCGGGGCGCAGAGGGAGGGGGGCCGCCGCCAGCTCCGCTGGTTCGGCTGGGGCTGGCGAGTCTCCCCTGCGCTTAACCCCGAACCAGGCACTGAAGCAGCCCCGGCGAGTCAGCAGCGCCCCCAGCTCCCCGCGGCCGGGGCCGCCTCCGGAGGGTTGGCCGAGGGCTCGGAGCCCAGCCCTCGTCTCCGCCCAGCCGGGGCGGAGCCCGCCATGCACGCATTGTTTGAAAGTTGGCAGCAGCCAGCCAGCCGGCCGGCCTGCCCAGCCTACGTAAGGCGAGATTCAGGGCGGGGGCGGCGACGCTGGAGGAGGCAGGCAGCGGGGGCGCCTGTGCCGTCACAATGCGCGCGGCGGGAGCGGGTCCGGGTAGAGGAGCATGCCCACGAGTGGCCCTCTAAAGCGGGCTGGGGCCCTGCTTGCGGGTAGGGGCAGCCCGCTTCGAAGCAAGTAAAAAGGAGAATTGCACCCCACCCCCCAAACTACGGATATATGCATATGGGAGGCAGGTGGGAGGCGTCGAGGGGGAGAGGCAGTGCACTGTGAATGGCTTCGAAGCCAAAGGCAAGCTACGGCGAATGGTAGAATGGCTGAGAGCTGGAATGTGCTCAGAGGTCACCCAGCCCACCCGCATCCCTGAGGCTGGATCCGTGTCAACAGCCCACTTTGTACCACATTTCGACTTCCCTCCTTACCGAAGCTCGTGGCTAGGACGCCAGCTTTAGGGCGCTTCTACAACGCGCTGCAACCCTCCATCCCGCCAGCGTAGGCGTGCTCTTTAAGCACACCTGAGCCTTCGCCCCGCTAAATGCTACCCACGTGGTCCTTGCTAACCTTGTGATTCCCCGCCCCCGCCTGCATGCAATATACAAACAACGCGTCGACGTCTGCAGGAGAGAATCCGCTTTGCAATTCTGCAACACAATTCTGGCTGTGGTTGCCAGAAGCTCAGAATGGTTGGTGACAGGTGGATCCCACTTGCTTCCTCGTTGGCCACAACTGTACATCAAGCGTGGATGCACCACAGATTTTGTATTAGGGCATTACAATATTGGCAGTTTGATTTCAGATCCCTTTCTTAATTATTCCCAACTTGGAATTTTCCTGCTGCACACTGTGTCAGCATGTCCATCAACCTACAGCTCACCGCAGCACCAAGGTCTCTTTCCTAGTCAATGCCACCAGCTCAGACCTTCCCCAAAATGTATTTTGAGGGGTGAGGTTGGTATTGTGCATCCCTTTACAATACTTGCATATCAAAACCCATTTGCTTTTTTAACGCTCATCCCCTCAGTTTGGAATTGGAATTATGTTAAGGAATTGGAATCCTTAAGAACATAACTAATCCTGCTGGATCAGCCCTATAGCCATCCAGTCTGGCATCCTATTCTCACAGTGGCCAACCAGATGCCTATGGGAGGCACAGAATTAGAATTGCAGAGTTGCAAGGGACTCCCAGGGTCATCTAGTCTAACCCCCTGCAATGCAGCTACCTTTGTAAAACCATTAGTATACAAGCATAGCAAGAACAGTTTTCTTCAGTGGAAGTACAGTGGTACCTCAGGTTAAGTACTTAATTCGTTCTGGAGGTCCGTTCTTAACCTGAAACTGTTCTTAACCTGAGGTACCACTTTAGCTAATGGGGTCTCCTGCTGCTGCCACGCCGCTGGAGCACGATTTCTGTTCTCATCCTGAAGCAAAGTTCTTAACCTGAAGCACTATTTCTTGGTTAGTGGAGTCTGTAACCTGAAGCGTATGTAACCCGAGGTACCACTGTATGAAGAATACAAAAGGGGTAGAATTTAAGAAAGGCTAAAAGCTGGTAGAAGTTTCCTGCTCCCTGTTAGGCAGCTGGGTGATGATTTGAAAGGCTGAACATTATGTATGCTGCAGCTACACAACCATTAGGTAAAATAATGGCTTCTAATTCCAGAAAATCAAATGTATCTACTGTGACTATTAAAATATACTCTGGGAAGTCATTTTATTCAGCTGCCTCAGATTATACAACAGATCTTGCTACTTTAGTCTTCTTCTAAAAATGTGACAAAATATCAGTCTCCCAAACCTTACAGGTTGTTGTTGTTTTACTGCAATAGTTAACACCACAGTGGCGTGTGTGTTTCTATGAGCCTGCTGTTTCCTTTATTCAGTCAAGGGTAATTTTGCCCCTCTATTATTCTCTTGAGTCATTCCTAGTAAGGTCAATTTCAAGGATGTTTACTCCTGAAATGTGAGTTTCTTAGGAGTTCATTGTGAAATGATTCTCCTGTTTTGTATAAGCACACACTTAGTTGCCATTTTCAAGCATTCTTACTTCATGGAGCTGCTTGATGCCTAGTTTCAGGCCGTCCTAATGTGCTCCAAGCTCTGCGACCCATCCATAAGGCTGACTGCAACACAATTATAATACAAGTGCAATCTTTTTTGTGAATTTATACTGCACTCAAGATGGGGCTTATTCTGTTGCATATTATTCTTCATAGACAAAAACCTGATGTATAGGATCACAGGTTGAAAGTTGCCTTTTGTTCTGCCTTTATACTACCACCACACCCTTAAACACCATAGTTTCAATTTTATAGATACAAGTGCAATCTTTTTTGGTGATTTATATGCACTCAAGATGGGGCTTCATTCTGTGCATATTATTTTCAATAGACAAAAACCTTGATGTATAAGGATCACAGGTTGGAAAGTTGCCTTTTTGGTTCTGCCTATAATAACTACCACCCCACCTTAAACACCATACGGTTTATTAAATATAACTTTAGGTGGTACCAGAATTTGGCATACCATCAGTGATAGTCAGTGGACGGGCATCTCCTCCAAATCATCTCCAGGATCTTTTGGCTATTTAGCTAGCCATTCATATGGGCATTCAAAAGAGAGAGAGAGAAAACTACCTAGGGAAATAAACCCAACCCTGTTACTTTGGTCTGTTGTATAATGTGTATCAGGTTCCTATGTATGTTTACTCAGAAGTCCTGCTTCATTCAGCAGGGCTTATTATAAGATGTGTGTACATAGGTCTGCAGGTTTGTAGCACAATTCTGTGCTTGCTTCCTTGGAGCTTAAGTCTACTTTGTTCAATTGAGCTCTGAAGGCAGCCCTGTACAGTGGTACCTCAGGTTACAGACGCTTCAGGTTACAGACTCCGCTAACCCAGAAATAATACCTCGGGTTAAGAACTTTTGCTTCAGGATGAGAACAGAAAACGCGCCGCCGTGGCAGCAGCAGGAGGCCCCCATTAGCTAAAGTGGTACCTCAGGTTAAGAACAGTTTCAGGTTAAGAACGGACCTCCAGAACAAATTAAGTGCTTAACCTGAGGTACCACTGTATAGGGAAGTTTTAAATGTTTGATGTTTTATTGTGTTTTTAATATCCTGTTGGGAGCCGCCCAGAGTGGCTGGGGCAACCCAGTCAGATGGGCAGCATATAAATAAAAAAGTTGTTATTATTATTATCATTACTCCTGTTTGTAAAAGTAAAGCCTTTTTTGCAACTGTTGCACAGTATAAAGAAAGTGCCTTCTGCTTTTCCTTATGGCTTGGTCTATTGTTGTATGTGAGGACACACTTGCTATAATTATCTATAATTAGGGTGGCTTCAGAATTCATTTAAGATGATGGAGATACTTGTTTTATGTTGTTATCAGCTGATATTAGATACCAGATAACATGCTACAACATGTGCACACTAAAATTAGCCCAACCAGGTACTAATCAAGGTGCTTTTGGGGGTGTTGATCTTTGACTGATACCACACAATGTCATACATGGACATTTGCATCACACCATGTTATCTAATAACACATGTACCAAATAATGTGATTTAATCTAACTGGTCCAGGTGATGGCTTATTAAATAATTACATCACTGTATGCAAAATCTGCCACAGCAAAAGCACCTCATTAACATGTCGATGAGTGTACATTATATTAAGGCATATTCGGATTGGTAGGTTTTTTTTCCCCTGACACAGGTTGAACAATTTTTAAAAGAGAGAGAACAGTGATTTGTAAGAACGTGGCCAAACTTGGTTCCTTAGACTGGACTTTGTCAAGGAAAGAAAAACAGAGTGAAAGAATATGACCTACAAGTGACACAAAGGTGATCAACAGCCTCCAGAAAATGCAGGGGAAGATGATGGCATACCAAGTGTAGTATTCAGCAGAGATACAAAACCAAAAGATCTACTATGAAACTAATTATACAAATTCGTTTTTTTAAAAAGAGACTTTAACCAATCTAGATACATTTAGGCCATTTGCTTACCAAGGCAAGCTAAACCTGTCCATTTAAAAAATAAATAAATCAAGGATGCTCTTGCTGAAATAAAACATGCCCTTTTGAGAAGAAAGTGTGTGCATACATTAGGGTGGACAGGGGGAAATGCTCCTTGATAGAGAGCAAAAGGCAGGGGGCTGCTTTCCAGAAGGGAAATTCCCCTTTCCTCTAATTCACAGTTCTGAGGGAAGTGGGGCAGATATAATTATATGGCTTTTAAAAGGCATTAGAGTACAGAAGGGTTGTGGTCGTGTGCAGCTGGATTACCATGTTCTAAAAAGCAGCTTGCTTTTTTGCTTTCCAAAGGAACAGTGGCACAAAGAGTTGCTCCCACACAAGTCCCATTTATTTCAATGAAGCTTTCAAGGAAGTGCCACACACCTTACATTTCCACTTTGTATTTTTCATCTAGGGGCATAAATCAGTGGAGGAGTTATGCTTCCCTCATCCATCCTTGATGCACTACAGCAGTGACCTTACGTTACCTATAAGAGTATTCATTTAGATTTATCATGCTTGCCATATCTGAAGGTCTCAGGACATGTTACCGTACTGACGTCTCATACAGCAAAGTCAACCACTCAGAATGCAATTGTTTTCCAAGAAGAAAAGGAAGAAGAGGAAAGCTAATCTCCATATTTTTGGGGAACAGGCTTGCATGAAGTCCTGAAGCGATTAATATTTTGTCAGCAGGACTTGGGTGGGGAATGAGCAAAATCCAAATAATAATGATGCAGGATACATCAAGCATGAAACAAAGGCAATCAGTGCAGTGTATTTCCCTAAGCCTTTTCTTGAGAAAAATAAGTGCAGCCCCATTATTTTGTCAGAGCGACTATTATTTTGACAGCCAACACCTCCGTCCAGCTTTCTCTCCCACACGTT